AAAATCGTGCAAAAGGTATTCATTTTATCACAAGTTAACACCTCACAGTGAAATATAATAGTAAGCTTTGCAATCTGCAATCCCCAAACCTGATCTTAAAAACTTTTTTTAAAACATCATTCCCAGATTCAGTGGTCTTAGATTTATATAAAGCAAACATTTTGAGATTGTTATACCCCAAAATGAAAAAAAAAAAAATTATAAAAAAGATTAAAGATTTTTGAAGGTTGTGATATATTTGATATGGTATCAATATGTGTTGTGGTGTATTACCACTCCCTGCCACCAGGAGTCAGGAGTGACTTCTGTTGTAGCCAGCCCAGGAGCTGGAGAAGTTAGAGAAATTCCATGTTCCTAATAAACCAGCAAAATACCACACGCTTTGAGTGGATTATTTTGTAATAGTGAAGATATCACAGAGGTGCAATACCTTTCATAAAAATGAACAGCAGTAGCTCAGGAGGTAGGGCAGGTTGTCCTGTAATTGGAAGGTTGCAGGTTTGATCCTGGCTCCTACCAGAGAATGCTGCTGTTGTGTCCTTGAGCAAGACACCTAAACTGCCTTGCCTGCTGGTGGTGGTCAGAGGGGCCGGTGGCGCCAGTGTCAGTATTGCTTCCACCAGTGCGCCCCAGGGCAGCTATGGCTACATTGTAGCTCATCATCACCAGTGTGTGAAATTGTGTGTGTGTGAATGGGTGAATGAATAATTGTGTTGTGAAGCGCCTTGGGGGGTTGGAGAACTCTAAGAAAGTGCCATACAAATACAGGACATTTACCATGTTTACTATATAAAACTGTTCAAAATGATTAAACATTTTTTGTTGGTATAAAGTCAAATTAAATAAAAGTAAATTCAAAAAATATTTACAAAAAAATCTAAAAATAGATCTAATTTTATTTTTAATGAACCCTCTCAGGTTCAAAATAAGTTTTGATAAAAGGATGAACAACTAAGTCCTTCAGGGGTACTTCTGAGTTAAATAATGCTCAATATACACGTATGTGAAGTAACAAGGGGTCTCATTTATCAAACATTGCGTAGAATCCTTACTAAAACCATACTTAAGCTCAGCAAAAAAATGTACTTACACCAAGTAGGTTTGTGATCTATCAGACATGGAGTATGCACAGCTGCACGCAAGCTTCGCTTCATGAATCGGAGACTAACGAGAATGTTTCTCAGCTGCATTTTAGTCACATCCCGCCCTCACCACGCCCACTTACTGCCATAAATAGTCAATGCAAAGTGCCTTGTGGACCTCATGCATGCACATAAGCCGGCTGTTGCAGCGCTCCGCCAATGACATGGTGACCGTAGATCAAGGCAGATCAAGGAAGCGCTATTTCACAGAAGCAGAAGTTGAGGTACCTGTGGGTGAGGAGGAGAAATGAAAGGAAGTGCTTTTGCAAAACAAATAAGAGAAAATCCACGGAGTGGCACAGCGTTGCTGAAGCCGTCAATGTTGTGAATTCTTCATAGAGATCTGTGGCGGATATAAAAAAAAGGTCCAATCAGGATCCCCAGACTCCCAGGTGAAAGTCATGCGCACTAACCAGTCAGCCAAACAGAGGTCTCCCTTGTCCAACTAGCCAGGGCGCATGATCAGTCGGGTCACAGTGACAGGACACACACACTGTCCCCCTGCTGATATTCTGTATTCCGTATTCTGTGCTTCAGGCTGTGTGTGTGTGTGCACAAGCGTGTGCGTGTGGGGGGTCTTGTTCTGTGTGAAAACAACGCAGTACAAGTGATAATGCTGCAGGATTTCATAATTTTGTCTTTCTCAGCAGCAGCACTGCAGGTGCTCTCCATGTCCAGCATGTGTGTAAGCCAGGTCCTTAGTCAACTTAAAGTTGCGCACAATTTTCAGCTACGTTTTCTGTGATAAATCCCAAAGTTTGCGTGGAAAGTTGCTTACGCAATTTTTTGACCCCGTTTTGTGCGTAAGCAAGCTTGATAAATGAAGCCCCAGGTACGTAGGTAGGTTTTAACTGTTACAAATCTGCAACGATTGCCTCCAGAGGGCTAAAAAATATGGTTGATTTAGTATCAATAATCAAACAAAAGATAAGTAGTAATTGATTCTCCGTTAATCACCTTACTGCAGTATATTGTAATAAAGCTCAGAGATTTGGCTTTAAAGGCACACTTTGCAGTTTTGCTTGCTTTTAGCTCCCCCTATAATCCGTTAATAATTCTGTGTGGTCAAATCGAAAACAAAACCTATCTCTTTCCCCCAGCCTTCCTTAGTGTCTACATGAGTGATTCATCACTAACTTAAATTATCTAAAACATGCATGAAACATGCTGGAACCAGACAGCAGTGCCAGGTATGTCATCTCAATTTTTTTTAGGTCCCAACAGAGCTGCTCACCAGTCTGAAGTTGCAAATGCGGCACTCTGGCCACAGGGAGTGGTGGACATCTGAGTGACATTTCATTAACCCTGTAAAGGGTCATTTTAGCACATACTGGCTGAGGAAAAGGATTTAAAAACACGAAAAAGTTGTAAAGCATGGCTTTAATCATTTTAAGATATAGCACCTAGTCAAGACACATTTACAGTCAAGACACATTTACAGCTCTACAACAAGCATCTAATTTTTTTAGTTTGTGCTTGAGTTTTTTTCCTTTATAGCAACAAAAGCCATTTATTTCTTATAATTAACAAACCCCTCATCAGAACACGCTTTAGCTAGAGCTGCACAGACTGAAGCATCAAAACAAGCTCTAGTAAGACATAAAAAGTGAGCACGAGCTTAAAAAAACATTCTTTACATTTTATTTAGTTTAAATCTTCTTAGTCTTAGAATGGAGTCCAAACAGACAGTCAGACATTACAGAAAGTGATTTACCACGGTGCTGCAGTTCCTGTTCTGTTCAGTTATATGCAGATGACATGGTCTTATACTGTTCTAAGTCGTGTAAATCTGAAATACAAGAAGCTCTTCAGCCTAATTTTGACGAGGTGTAGCTCTGGCTAGCTCAGAACAAACTTCTTTTAAATAAATCTAAGACTTACTCCATGCTGTTTCATAGATGTAGTACTTTATCTGATATTGACAGGACTCTTAATCTTTATTTTTTGGATTCCTCGCCAGTACATTCTTCTGTTAAAATGAAATATTTAGGAGTCTGGCTGGAGCCAGAGCTGTCTTTTAAATTTCACATTCACACGACATGTCTTAAGGTCACACGGTGTTTACGAATCCTTTACAACTCAATAAATTGCTTTGAACCTATTGTACGCAAGCGCCTTGTCACTCAGCTTCTGTTGCCGATTACTGATTATTCTGATATTTTGTACCAAAACTCAACAGTTTCTAGCCTGCGGTCTCTTGATGTCTACAACAGTTTGTGTCGTTTTATTTTGTGGTGTTCTTTCAACACTCATCATTGTTATATGTATGAACTTCTTGGTTGGCTGCCTTTAAAAGCTAGACGACAATTTCATTGGCTGATATTTATGTTTAAGTGCATTTATTTTGATTTTCCACTTTATCTGAAAACTCTTTTGGTTCC